CTGTTGCTGGGCACCACTGAAAAGAGTCTGGCCCCATCCTCCTGACACCCACCCTTGAGATATTTATAAGCATTTATAAGGTCCCCTCTCAGCCATCTCTTCTTCAGGCTAAACAAGCCCAGCTCCCTCAGCCTTTCCTCATAGGAGAGATGCTCCAGTCCCCTCACCGTCCTCATAGCCCTCCACTGGACTCTCTCCAGTAAGAGCTTGGTAAGCTCAGTTATGAAGGAGGGTAAGTGTGAGAGACGTAGAAAAGAAAGCTAAAAGAACTGAGTTTAACTTGGTAGCAGGGTACTGGAAATGGGTATTGGTGAGTCAGTCAAGGCCGAAGGCAAAGGCAAGCAGAAAAGCAGGCTAGCGGCGTTCACAGTCAACGACTTCTTAAGAACTTCAGGTGCTGTGCTCTGTTACTGGGATGAGCACTAAACCTTGGGGTTAATTTTTAGATTTCTGATGGATTAAAAACTTGTGGCCTTTGCTCTTGCCCATTCCCTTGTCTTCCTGTCCAGAGTATTGATTGGAAAAAAAAAAAAAGAAAAATCTCTTCAGAAAGCGGAGATCTATTCACTGTTTTTAGTTCCTCATTTGGGACCTTTATCTTACTCCGGTGCTGACTGGTGGTTTTAACTGTCAGAACCAAGAGTAGTAAGTAAAATACCACAGAGTTCAGGGCTTTTTAGTTTTTTTTTCACAGCTTTTCTGAAATTCTGAAGATATTTTTAAACTTGCTGCTGTCTGGAAAAATACGGAGTTTGCCATAGAGTCGCTGGTGGAGTGGTGTGATAAATACCTGGAGAGGACCACGGGCATTCACTGGTGTTTGGAAAGTTATGTCTGCAGTGGTAGTCTAGAATGCTTTTGGAGTGGTTCGTTGAATGGAGTTATAAATCACCAGTAACTGCAAAAGAATGCACATAGTTTTTCTCCAACAAATTAGTTTTTCAATACTAAAAAATATTACTAGGAAAATAACAATAATTAAAAATCGAAACTTTTCATAACCTGTATACTGCATTAATTTTTGTCTCTGAGAGCTTATAATGCACAATTCCATTCTTATTTTGTACACAAAAGCTAGAGGATGTGCATTGTTTTCCCTGAACTTTCATAAGCAATGTATCTTATATTTAAGTGTTAATATTTAAGTATTAATATTTACTAAGCTATTTTGATACAGTGCAGCAGTACTATTGCACTGCTTACAGGATTTCTGCAGAAACGGTGAGAAAACATTGCTTACTCCTTTGCGTAAATGGTAATCATCTGAAAAAGTCCAGAGTAAATGTCACATGGCTTGTATGTATTTGTGCATATCTAGGCATTAAAATGTTGTATTTGTGTATTATGGGAAGGCTCTTTTGGTGCCAGAGAAAGCTTTTAAAAATAGTTCATACCCTCTCCTAGTTTGTTGTTGCAAAGATCATGTACAAAAGGACAGGGTTTTTTTTTCTTCCCCTCAGAATGCTAGTGAAATATATTTCCAAATTCTGATGTGAATCAAGTCAGTAGTACCTCCTACTGAGATACTGGCAACAGAGAATAGTAGTCCTCGACTACTCGTCTTTCAGCAGTAATTTTGGGATGGTGAGGATGGCGTTCCTTTTTTTTTTTCTTTTCCCTCCACTAACCAGTGAATATGGTTGACTTCCGAAGTGAATCTGAATCCGATGTAGCAGTCAGTGATTGTAAACAACTCTGAAGTGAGTGCAGGAGAAGTGTCAGAGTAGTAATTGCGGCAGCTGTTGGGAGTTGGCCTCTGCCTTCCTGCTAGATCCCTACTTTGTGCTCTGTCTGTGGGAGGAATGAATGTTCACTTCCATGACTGCATATTTATCTTATTGGCAGCTGGTAATTCTTTTGGAGTCCTGCCTCCAAGTGTTTTACTTCCAGAATACAGATTGTTTCTGCTCTGGTAAAGAGTACCAGAGAAAAGGGCAGATTGCAGCTGTTATATTGCCATCAGTCAGCAGATTCATTGAAAATACAATTTGCAATTCCATTTTTTGTTGTAAACGAGTATTGGGAATGTCTGCAGTAGGTCAGCTGTAGTAGGTTACTTAGTAGTTTTAATTCTGAGTGGTTAAAATGCTCATAGCGAAAGTTTAGTGGCAGGCGATACTGTAGAACTACAGATTCATCACCACATGGTCTGCAGCCTTGCTGGAAGATGAGCCCTTACAGAAGTTAGGGTAGTTGAATGTTGCTGCAACAAATCTCTTTGAGCTGTTTGGAATTTTTTTTTTTGTTTGTTTTGCAATAACTAAATGGAAATTCTGAAATAGGCAGAATGATGTTCCTTTATTCCTGAGCTCTTCAAGCAACAGTAAGCTATTGACTAGATTTACATTGCAGTCAGAAGGGTGACTAGAATACATTCAGGTAGGTCTGGCTAAGAGTAGCCGTGAAGGCTGTGGTAGTGTGGCTGGGGTTTTGGGGTTGTTTACTTCAGGCTAGACTGTACCAAACTACTGGGATCTTCAAAATACGCGCGTATATATGCACACACAGACACAAACTGGGCTGCTAGCCTGTCTATATTATTACGGCTGTTTTTGCTAGCTGTTTGAATGTATCTCTGGTCACAGGGATAGCAATCGTGTAAGGGTGAGTACATGGATAAATGCAAAGATTTTTGCAGCCATGTTGCTGTTGCTCCTGTTATTTCTCTCATGTTCAGTCTGCATGAGAGACAAAGGAAGGCCTTAGAGGTTTAATTTTAAAAGTAGGATGTATTTCTAAGTATGGTCTTCAAGACACCTTAGAGGCTATTGGCAAATGGTAGCTTTAATCATAGCTTGATGTTTCTACCCTGGTTTCTCAGACAAACCTTCCATCCTATTCTTGCCTTCCCAGTGTTTACAGAGTAACCTCTACAGACAGGCAGAATTCAAAGACATTTAGTATCTACTAGTTTTGTGAAAACTGGCAAGTGGCTGGAGACCCAAGCTAGTGTTTAACAGCCGTCGGCATGTGTGTAACTTGAAAAGAGCCCACAGCATTAATCTGAGTTGTGTCTGGCCCAGGAGGTGGGGGAAGTGGGGCTGCTATGCAAGATCATGGGAGGTGGAATGTGAGGTCTCGAGGGAATGGAAGGGACCACGGTACTGATGTTACTGTGGTAAATATAATGGCATAAGAGTTGCAAATGGAAAACAGTTTCATTGTCTGTTCACAAAACAATCCTTTTCTCTATGCTAGCAGTAAATCAAAACAGATGTCTTTGCTGTATGTATATATGCATGCATGCTTTTTTGTTGCATTCAATTTCATTAAATAGTTCCAAATATGTACTTTTTTTGATAAGCAACTTCCAAAGATCTCTCTGTTACTGATGTAATTGGTGCCTATAAGACTTATTATGTTTGTACACTCGAGAAAGTTTTTAGGTGGTCATAAAATAGGCTGAGTTTTCCTGTAAGTTTAAAATGTCTGTAGGTTGGACATTCTGAGTTTTTCAGTTTTTATGTGTGTTTCTCCTGGTACCATGTTTTGATACGTGCCTCAACTTCTTTTTCAGAGATTGGAATGGGACTAACAGGCTTTGGAGTGTTTTTCCTTTTCTTTGGAATGATACTCTTCTTTGACAAAGCTCTTTTGGCTATTGGAAATGTAAGTGCCTTCCGTTGAGTCTTAGATTCTTCACTGCTTAGACTTAAGTATGATAGATTTAAAAGAAACTAAAAATACAACAGTATGTTATAAGCTTGAGACTGGATCACAAAAAATACTGTGGCAATTTGGTATAAAGGAAGAGTTGTGCTCAGTGATACGAGTGAATCATTTTTCCTGATTAAAGTTAGAACAGCTCACATGAATCTAAATATCGTACCTCCAGGTCAGACAAGCAGCAGCTTGTTCTGCAGTTCTTATGCTGCTGCAAATCTGATTTTTAGATTAGCTGTCATTGCTAACACTTTCTTTTTTTGTGATCTTGCAAGATAACTGTCAAATTTAAGTATATATTTGGATAAGAATAGTGATGTTCTGTACATGCTAGCAAATGTAGCTTTACTGTGCTTTGTGAGGAAAGAAGGAAGAATGAATTGCTGATAGTGTGGGTTTAGAAGAGCAAATCACCCTTCGTAGTAGAGAGATTTAATATCTTCGTTTTTTACCAAATCAAAGTTTTCACTTAAAGCAAAAGAGAAAATAAATCCTAGTCCACAGAATTCCCTATCCAAAGCAAATATAAAACGACAGGGTGTTTTCTGCATGCAATTATCTCTGTGCCTCTGCCATTTCTCAGCTTCCCCAGGCAGCCAAGAGCACAGCCTGGTAGAGGTTTGCATCCTCTTTTGCTGATGCCTAAAACTCTGTGGTCAAAACTGATCAGTTTCATTCTGTGGCAGCAGTCAAATACTGATATTCACTGAAGGAAAATATAAAAATGTATATGTGAATTGGGCTGCATTAGTTGAAGCATTGTTCTGAACCATGAATAAAGTGTATAGTGGAAGAGTAAAAAATAAAATAATGCTCATTTTTTTTCTTTTCCTAATATAAGGTGAAAATACAATGTCCTGTTTAGGGAAAATGATGAAAACATAGGTAGGAAGAGACAATGGCAGGCTATGTGGTAACCAAAGATAATGCAAGAAAAGGTACTGTATCCTTACAGAAAGTTTTAAAAAAAGAGTGATATCGGAAAGCAGAAGAGGCATTAAGAAAGTGGTTTATTAAATAGCATACAAAACTTAAATTTTATCTATAATCTTGAGCAAAATCTGAGATGCTATCCCCTTCTCAGCAAAAATGCTGCCCAGATGTATGCTTACAATCGGAAATAATAGCAAGTCCTGTAGTAGTTCTAACTAGTTAGGACTGGTGTGACAGTGTTCAGTCTGTACTGGAACTAGTGAACAGTAGAAAGACTGCACACAGTAAACAAAAAAAAACCCCAAAAACCAGAACCCAACAAGTAAGATAACTGATAATGCTCTTCAGCTGTCTTCCTTGTTTTGGCTTTGCACTGTTTAGTAGATCAGTACAAGCTGTTGAAGATGTCTATGGTGTGGGAACAGAGGTGCATTTGTTACATTCTGTTCTCAGTTTTTCAGAATCTGTGCTGTCAGTGGTACAGAGCTTCAGCACTGCTTGTGGGTAACGATTGTACTGACATTACAGGACAGATAGAACTGTTGTCACCAGGTCTTTTGATGTGATTGTGTTTGTCAGAGACCGCAAAGGTAGACTCTTATTAAGCAGCTGAGAGAAGAGTTTTGAATGCTAGCTACAAATGCTTTATGATGGACTTTACACAGGAAAATCACTAGTAAATTCTGTCTCATCATCTATCTTTTGGTATTAAAGGAAGTTGTGCAAGAAACGCAATCTAGTTTTGTAGAATATATGTATGTTTGCATACTAAACTTAGGAGTCTAATTACTATTTTCTTTCTTTGGTTGTTTTTTGTCTCTTCTAGGTTTTATTTGTGGCTGGCCTGTCTTTTGTTATCGGTTTAGAAAGAACATTTAGATTCTTCTTTCAAAAACACAAAATGAAAGCAACAGGCTTTTTCCTGGGTGGTGTGGTCATAGTTCTCATTGGTTGGCCTTTAATAGGAATGATCCTTGAAATTTATGGGTTCTTCCTATTATTCAGGTAAGACTTGTTTCAAAATGCCTGTCTGTATTGGTGCATCTAGGAATAAATGTGTTCGTTTAGTATTGCTGCATTACAGCTGTCAAAGTCGCATCCTTTACATATTCGCTTTTGATAGATTTTATGTAAAGTTGTTGATTTACATTTGCAAGAGTAAGTAAGAGTTGGTTGCGAGTTGCCGGAGTTGGTAAGCACTTTTCCAAGACTCAAATCTGCTGATGCTTGTGAGGCATATACCACACTGACTTAGGTGATGTTGTCTAAATGAAGAACTGTAAAGCTTCAAAATATCTGGGAGCCCGAATTGTTAGCAGTGCAGAGTTTAAATACTTCCTCACAAAAAAAAGGCAACTTAGAAACTTAGTATCTTTTTGGTGGGGAGTCTGTGCTTTTCTTTAACAAATGAGGAAAAATACTTGGTTACAAACATCCTAGGTTTGTAACCCTACTCTTTCATTATTGTGGCAGCCCAGTGAAAAGATGTTTTCTGCATGTTCCATTATGCTTGTGCCCTAGTGCAGTCAGAACTGATGGGTTTGGTCAGCATTATGTCAACTCATTTAAGGAAAGATGAAAATTCTTATCTTTTGAACAGCAATCTTGATACATTGTGAAAGCTATAACATGTATCATTTAACTTCTTCATAAATGCAGTTGTAATGGTGAAAGAATTTGACTTGTTAGAACCTGTATATATCTGTATTTTTTCTTTATTTCTGTGGTTGAGGTTCCATGCTGCACTATAGAACAAAGTACAAAAATATGCTAATAAGTAAGAAGGGAGGCTTTTAGTTGTTCATGGACTTCTGTTCAGATGAAGACTGTTTCGTTAATGCTTATTAATCTAAGAACAGACCCCGGAAATATTTTTGAAGTGTTCAGCTGTTGGCTAAATAATACAGTTCCTGTTAATCAAAATCAAACCACTGTCCTCATGGCACTCTTTTTCTGCACTCAGTAAAATTGTATGTTAATCTTATATTTAGTTTGTTTAAATGTTTAAATATTTTTTTAAAATAACCGTAACTTGGCTCATACTGAAGATGGCGAGATTTCTGAAAATTAATTTTGTAGTTTTAACATATGCTTCTTATTTTTCTGCTCTGTATGACTCTGAATTCTATCACTGGAAATGTTTTGAAAATCACGGTATTTCACTGAATCCATTCTCACTTCTTGCATGTAGCGCTTGGGGTTAATCAGCCAGTACAAAGCAAGTGGACTGTGTTTCCAACCAAACACCCCTCCTTTTAAAAGATCTCTAAAGAATGATAAATTACAATGTCTAAGTAGGTATTGTTGTGGATTATCTGTTGGTGCTAGCCAGGGGCTATAGCAAAGTAGAATAACTGAAAGGATTATAGAAGGTCAGTAGTTACCCCTAGGTCACTAGGACTGTCTCTTAGCCAGAAGAGTATCAACAAGGCATAGGTAAATGTTCACCATTGGAATTATCTGATCTGTTTCCATTTAAAACATCTCTAGACCATCTTTTCTAGTGCTTAATAGTTCTTAGAATCTAAATCCCTTGCTACAATGTTAGCTAGTTACTATTTCAAACAAAGCTTTTTGGTTTGTTTCAGTCTTGTTCGTTTCAACCATTACTATTGTTTTCAGCAACTTGTTCCTTTCTGAAGAAGTTAAAAATAGAGCCTTTCCTCAAGCATCATTTTATGAGATTCCTCAGGATACTGCTGTTTCACTGCATAACAGAAAACTCCCCTGGTTGTCATTGGTCTCCAAATACATAATTTTCTTAAGCCCAAGGAATACCACATCAACTTCTGCGTCTTTGGATTTGTTAGGGCAGTATGTTGTGAGGATGGGCATTTATGTGTATCCTAATGGTTCTAGTCATGTGGGTTACCAGGACTTCTACGCAGAAAACCTTTATATTTATCAAGAGCAATTTAGCAGTTCCAGTAACTTTACTTCAGCTCAGACCAAGGTAGTACGAATGTAAACCACTGTATTATACTTTTTCCAGTCTCTTGAGTTTTTTTTTGTTTTTTTTTTTTTAAGACCACTAAACCAGTTGCACTAGGTATTCAGATCCCTCTGGAATCTTTATTTGTAGGTTGTTGTCTCGCATATCTAGACTGCTTTTATAGTCCCCTTTCATACGCCCTGTAGCAGTAATTGCAGAGCCCCTGTTGTTCACAAAGCAGTGGTTACGTACTGGTGACCAAGAACACTCAAATGACAGGATTGCAAAGATTCTTTTTGATTCGTTTTTTTTAAAGATGCATCTGACTGAAGTGAAAGAGGGACACTATTATTTTGCTCTGGTTTAAATCTAGAATGTCTTTCCCTGCTTGTCTTTATTTAACATGCTGTCACAAGTTTCCCGTCAGAGGGTTAGTCTTTTGCCATACTTTCACGTGCTCGGATTGCATTCACTGGAGAATGCTATTATGGGACAGTATCCCTTGTTGTACTCTCAGCTGCTTTTGGAGGTGTGTTCAGATTACAGGCATCCAAAGCTATGGCTAATAGTATTATCCTTCCTGTACTGACTATTCCTTATTCTTGGCTACACCAGTTGTTTTAATCTGTTAAAGTGGTTTGTGTGCCCTGCATCACCATTTACTCGACCACTGAAATGGTCTGGTCTTACAAAAAAAAAAAGAAAATCTCCAGGAAAAAATTGCTGGGGTTGATATTACCCAGCAAATAGTTCTTACCACTGTAGTGAAGAGCATGACGACTTGTGAAACTTCACTGTTTCACTGTGGCTGGGGTCTCATTACATGTTAATCCTTATTCTGTGCAGGGAATGTACAGCGCAACAAGAGATAACTCGGCATGCCACCACCAGCTGAATTGCTGCAGTTGGCTGCAAACAGCTGAGATACTGCTGTAGAAAATCTGTTTTCCTGCTGCAGAGGCAAAGGGGACGGTGCAGGGGACTACAGCATAGCAGCTGTGCTGGGCAACATCCCCTGGCTCATGACTGAAATCTCCGACTTTACATAAGTTTGTGAAATAAGTGAATACACAACTCTGTCATGCTTAATTTTCTTTAGTTAATGTAAAGAGTACCTTACATGGTTTCCAAGGGGATTACTCAGAATTAATTTCAGTTGTTTGCATTGGGTGTTGCAAGAATGTATTTCCTATAGTGTAAAAAGAAATTATCTCAAAATATGTATGGTAATTTTGGGAAATCAGTTGGGTGCATCAGTTCTGTTCGTTAAGTTGGGTATTCTTTCTGGAGAGCTTACTGAGGCTTGCCAGCTGTGACGAGAATTAAGTCCTTTTAAAAATAAGGTGTTTCTCTCCTGGTTTTCTCCTTTCTGTGCTGAATGTATGTTGATATATTTGGTTACATTAACGTGCTGCTAACAAGCTGCAAGATTTTATGTAATCTTGCTTTAAAAAATACCTCCTGTTTCCTCATTTTATAGCAATATGAGACTAGTCTAATTAAAGTAATACAATCTTCTGATGTCTTTTCTAAAGGGGGTTCTTTCCTGTGGTGGTTGGCTTTATTAGAAGAGTTCCAGTTCTTGGCTATCTCTTGAATTTACCTGGTATAAGCTCGGTAAGTGTTTGGTACTTCATACAAAATTTGAAGCTTGTACTGTTTTTTATTCCATTGTTACAGCAATAGTAGAAATGTATCAGAAATAAAGCAAATATTACTTTAGAGCAGTGGCTCTGAGTGTATTCCTGTATAGTTCTTGCACCGTGCAGATTGTCTTCATTCCCAGTGAGATGTAAAAAGAACAAAAGGACACCTGTACAGAAGGTGCCCCCGTTTACACGTTGTGGAGAGTGCCCTGGATTGTGACTTGAAACACTGGGGTTCTGCTTCCTGCTTCACAGTTGGCCCTAGGTGACCAGATAGGTGAATCGTGCCACTGTCCTGTGCCTCCTCTCCTGTCTGTATGATGAAGAGGACGCTGCTGTTCTTTGTGTGGTATTTGGATATATTTATGAAAAGTGGCCTGTAAAAGCAAACAGTTTAGTTCGATGTTAAGGTGCAGCTTATGTGGTGAATCCAGAAACTCTCATGATGCATAATCATCCATCGGATATATCTGTTAAGGTCCACTGCACCAGGCTGAGTCTTGCTACTCACTAAGATTTGTATTTTTTTAAGTGCAATTTTCCATTTTCTTAACCAAATAGCCAGGGATTTGAAGACAGTTAAAAGGTGCCAGAAAGACGGTAATCTAGGGTGTTTCAGTCAACTACTTTTACTGTGCTAATTTCTGTATGTGTATTTTAACACAAGCATTTTTAACCCTAGTTTTGAAAGCCACAGTTTTAATAGCTACTGCTAAAAAATTAATAGGGGATGTAACTTAGATGTGTACAGGCTGTTTCGTAAAAATTAGTGTTCAAGATCATCTGTTCCAATCTTACAGTTAGGCCAAGTTCTGGCTCATAATTCATGATCAATTGAATGTTTCATTTGTCAATTGATCTTACTTAGCCATATTTAATTTGATCATAATGGGGTTAAATCTTGTTTTAAAAAGATAATTGTTAATGTTTTATTCAAAGCCTACGTAGGCTCAGAAGAGAATCCACAGTAATGGTCAGTTGAAATATCTTACTTGGTCTACTAATGCATGTGTGGCTGATACTGTATTGTTTTGTTTTAATCATTAAGCTAGCAGTGTAATCTGCATTCTTTTATTTTCTTTTTCATTCTGTTGCATCTTCATGTTGCACTGTTAATGTCTATATAAGAAAAACATGTCATGCAGAAACACAATGGCAATGTAAGATTTTTAATTTTCACAAACTTTAATCATGAGACCTTGGTGAGTACTATTTGACTCTCATTTTCAGTCGTGTACTAAATGTGCAAGTAGCAAGTAATATTTGAGAGTAACTTCACTGTACATAAGTGTCATGCAGCTCAAAACCTTTTTGTCTCCTTTTCTACAGCTTGTAGATAAAGTTGGAGAAAGCAACAACATGGTATAATGACAAGAGGGCGGAAGACTGATTCTAAACTTACTGTATTATTTATAAAATCCTTTTGAAGAATATTCAGCACAAAGATTAAGTTGTGTACAAAGGAAAAGCTTGTTACATTCTTTACATAACAGTTTAATTTAAAATGTATAGTCAACAATATACATTAGAAAAGAAGCTCAGCAAGTATGCTTCTAGGAAAGTAACTCCAGAGTTCAGGAAGTAGACTGAAGAAGTGAAAGTCATGGAATAACCCATGTTACAACTGTTCAAGACTATTTTTATTGTTTTTGGAAAACATACTAGAGGCAATGAACCCTTCTGGAATTCACGGCGCCTGTACTTTACCTCCTTATTTTGAAGGTGCAGTAGAGCAAACAGGCCTGCGTTTTTAAGGGTGACCCAAACTTATCCAACCCTCTGCTTGCTATCCTCAGAGTGCAAAAAAACAAACAGAAAACTTCTTGTGTAACAAGAGATGCGTCTGTGCATGAAGGTGAAGATGACTATTCATCTTTAAGTGTATTATGACAAAAAAAAAAAGGAAACGGTTCTGTTGTAAACATTTTTGTAAATATGTGGCTGAAATAAAACATTGTTATCTTAATGTTTCAAAGCCAAATGTAAGTTGATTGTATTTGCCTTCCGTTTCGGAATATGCAAAAGGTCAATCTTTAATAACTTCAGTCTTAAATGTTGGTTCTGAACATGTAGAGCTCAACAGGGGACTCTGGAAACTGACTTGTGCTCCTTCCAGTTTGTTCTCCTTGAGTCATGTTACAAGTGCATCCACGTGAGAATGTAGCCCTCTGTCACTAACATGAAAACTTTGTGAAATATGCTTAGCTTGGAAAAAAAAAAGCATTTTGTTAAGGTGCTGACATGAACCCTGTGAAATGAATCTTATCAAAATTTGAACCTTTGTTTTTAAATAGTTTGAAGCTAAGGTTTCTGTGTTTACTCTGGAACTACGAGTTGACTTTTATTTTTTACAGTAATAAAATGAAAACTCAAAGTTCGGTGTACGTGAGTCTCTGGGGAGAAGATGGAGCTCATGGGGCTAACTAAAGATCAAGTGCCAATCCCTGTATGTTTTATAACTGGTTGCTTGGGTTATCTTCAAATAACTTCAAACTTCTCTCAGTCACAGCAACAAGTTAGCTGTTACAGAGGTTCGTGGCTAACCTGGAATAAACATCACATTTCTGCTTCTGTTGGAATGTTAAACATTCTGCACTTTCAGTAGGTTTAGTTACGTAGTGTCCTCACTTAACAAAACGTGATCATTAAGTAAATTGTATTTGTGCAACCTGTGGGGGTTTCTGTTGTGTTTAACTTTCTTTTCCCTTAAATGTAATCCTAAAAAAATTAACAAAATGCAATGGTGGTATTTCAAGTAGCTATGTAGTCTTGAAGGCCTGATGAATGTGGTTTTGCTTTTTTTTTTATTATGCATTTAAAATTGGTATTTTCTAAAATAACTTAAGAATCCTCATATACCAACCCTTTTGGAAGTTGCCATGAAGTTTATAAGACATGTTTTATTTTCATTACAACTGTGTAAATAGCCACAATCTACTGTTCCTGATATTTGCTTCCTTCTCAAGCAGGCACAAAATTATTCAGTGAAAAAATGCCATTGTATTTGCAATGAATAGCATCTGAAAAATCAGTGGGTTTACTTTATAAATGACAAAAAAATGGCTCTATTTGCCTGATGGCATGTGTGTTATAGTTTACAGACAGGACTAAATATGACTTGTGGCTTCTACCTCAAGAGATAAACCAATTTTAACTGCTCCTGTAGATCTGTTGTGCGTTAAGATGACTAGAGGATAACACTACAGCAGTTTAGCAAACTCGCCTTGTTTGCTTTGGTAGAGCACTAGACTGTACTGTGGGAATCAAGTACTGTTTAAAGCAGACAGTGTTCATTTACATTAGGAGTCGGCTACCTGAAGATTTTTTGTTCTTGTCTTTTGCAAAATAACTTGATGGGAAAGGTAGATTGCAGCACATGACTCTGGAAATCCGACTGAAAGCAAGTTGCTCGGTAAGCTGAAGTACCTCCATCAACAAGAAAGCTGATGATACCCTTCAGAGGTGATGAATGTGCTGCTGTATAAGATGTTTTCAGCCCTCTGAAATGCCGGGACGTAGGCAGTTCATCTCACTTCTGTTTAATTCATCGTTTTAAATCAAAAGTCAGTTTTTTGTTGGATGTGAACTGTTGTGAAAAGCGTCTGAGGGAACAAAATTGTATGTCACATTTAGCATAGTCTTTATCCCTCAAGGTAATGTTGTCTTTGAGACAGTTTTGCCAAGGTAAACGTGGGTGGCAGCAAAAGTGAAAATGACTTAGCCTTAAAGTGTTTCTGTCATTGTAAAAATATCTAACAGAAACATGCTTGGATCGTTTCCCCTTTTAAATGTGGTTTATAATTACTGCTTTAAAAATCGTAAGGGTGGATCTTATTCTGAGCAAATGAGTACTGTAAATATCCTTGTCATACCTTGAATAAATGGGTACCTTTTTCTATAACTTGTCTTTGTGTCTCTTTACATGCACACTTTAAGAGGGAGTTTTGACAAGTTTTCCTTTCCAAAGGTTAGGGACTGCATGGTGCAAATGCTTGTCTGTCTTAGGCTGTTGTGACTTTCATAGTAAATAGTGTCTTTAATTAATCTTAAATGGAAAGCTTTTCTCTTTTTCTTATAATAAACCTTTTACATAAACATCCCCCTCATTCACGTTCTGGTTTCAAACACATCGCAACAAAATGTGGAAATTATGTGGGAAATAGTTTCTTTGTTAAACTACCTCCTTTCCTTTCCGAGGAAGTAACTGTGAAACTTCATGAGAAAAAGGCCATGTGTCTAGAACTTGGAGCAGGTTCTAGCCCCTGTGCTTTCAGTTTAGTTCAATTACATGAGTGCAAGTTCTCTGTCTCCTGGAGAGTGGCCTGATAAGCAGGTTTACTGTTCTGAGGTGACAGGCAAGCTTGTTAGCCCAGTGTCAAGGATTTTGGCAGAGGGAGCAGAACAGCAAAGCAGGGATTTAAATTGGTTGGTGAGGTGTTGTGTTGGTGCTATGTGCTAGCTGATGATTTTGACTGAAGTTCCAGCCTCAGCTTTTTCGATGCTTTTGACTGAAAGTTCCAGCCTCTCAACTTTTACCAAAGTTGGTTCTATCCTAACAATTCCAGAGAGCTAGCGCTTCCTGGTTGGTTCTATCTGAAGAATTCCAGAGAGCTGGCAGAGGATTGGACTAGATGACCCACAGAGGTCCCTTCCAACCGCTACCATTCTGTGATTCCTAATTTAAAAGGCAAAAATCCCAGCTACATCTAGTTATATTTGTTGAACTGAGAGGTATAATGTTAATCTGTATGTAGCTCATGGCCAGTTACTTTCAGTGAACAATTAGCATTGATTAACCAGGAATACTTTGACTTTGTTGCTCACAATATGGTACCACTGTAGTTTAGAGTCTGTGTCAAAAACATTGTGAAGAAAGGTATCTTGTCTGTGCAGTAGACATCAAAGACAAGGTTTTGCTGGGTTATTTAAAAATTGTTTCCTCGCCAGATTTCAAGGTACAGACTCATCTAGTTGTTGCCTTTCTGTTTCGCCTGATTATCAGCCTGGAAAGTAGAGTCCAGGTCCTTAAACCAAATGTAGTATGCCTGTCTCCCTGCTGTCTCTTGAGATGTCACTGCCAACCCCTGGACTCCTGTCCCTGTTTCTCCAGCTGCTGTGTCCTGGCTGGCTTTGGCTGTTCATTCTACCCTACAGGTTGCCATTACCAGCTATGACAGCACCAGTGTGCCATTACCAGACTGACTTTACCCAGCAGAATTTGGACTTTTGTTCTAAGCATTACCCTTCTAGTACTCATCTTGGCATATTAAAGTGTCTTTCAGAAGATTTGGAACTTGTGCTCAGTCCAACAAAGAGATTCTGCAGCTGCTGTAATCCCTTGCCAAGCCTAATTTCAGCACAATTATTGTATGCTAAAGCATCCTCATCAAATATGTGACAATTTACAGATAAATGACAGGACTGATGTGGAGTAATTTGGTGTAGAATTCATTATCTCAGACTAAGCATTATGAATGATAACTTGGGATATTACTCAAGATCTATTTATAGAAATGCATGTATGTGTTTAACCAGTTGTCGGTGTCTGGTTTACATACTGAAGCAGTGCATGTCCAGAGGTACCCTTGCTGAAAAGCATCTGTGTTCCTGTATACTTTCTACCAGATACCATTTCTGATTGAAGTAGTACCACCGCTTTGCTGGGGAGTGTAATGAATTTCCTATAAAAATATGTTATGTTCGAAGTATCTTATTGCATGATGTCAAAAGCTCATAAAAGTGTCAGGTTCCTAAGCTGACTCACCACATACAAGGAACTTCTCCGCTGAAGGGCGACAGTGTTTACCCTGCTGTTTGGTACAGGAGTGCAGATCTCGTTAAGATCTGCGAGCCAAGACGTTCATAACCGAGAACGGACAGTACAGCCAACTGCAGGCAACGTGCACCTGATCCACAACCGCTTTATTGTCCTTTTTTCCGTGCCTGGCTCTGAACCTCGGGGCGGCAGCGGCGACCACCGGGGAAGCCACCGGGCCTCGTTGGCTCCTTGAGCACGACAACGAGGGGCCTTGGCTGCCCGGGGTCCCTGTGGCAGCGGGGGGGG